AAACACACCATCCTTTTCTTTTGACCACAGCTGGCATCCTAGACATGAACTTAAGATAAAACTTTTTCAGTGGAAAGTGTTAAAGGGCATTCTTCCCTTTAATGATAACCTAGGCAGGTTTATCAATGTCCTAAATCCATCCAGATGCATTCTTTGTAAGAGGGATACAGATTCTCAAAATCATGTACTCTTTCAATGTCCAGTTGTTCAACCTATTTGGAACTACTTCATGGGAATCTTTAGTATTCCCTTTTCCCAGGGGTCTATATCCCAGATTTTTAGATCCTGGTGGCTAAAAGCAGGTAGTAGGAGTCTGTTTGACATTTTCAAACATAACCTCTCGGGCATCATAGCTTGGCATATCTGGAAGCATTACTCTAATCAGGTCTGGGGAAGGGTGGTCAATTACCCTCAACTGTCTGCTTCATCCTACAGATTAAACTCTACACTCAAAATTGGGTAGCTAGCTTCCCTAAATTGAAGATTCGATCTATAGGCTCTGTCTTGTTTGAAGAACAACTAATCCCTAAAAACTATTCGTATGGTTCTAAGATTCAGATTATTCGGTGGAAGAAGCCTAAAAATAAACATAAGCTAAATATCGATGCTCGGTACTTATCTGGTAATGCTTCAGGTGGAGCAATTCTGCGCGACTCTAGAGGAACCATGCTTGGCGCAGCTGCTTTTCCGATTCAGGCCTCCTCGCCAGTTGATGCTGAGATTCAGGCTATTGCTATTGCGATTCGGTGGGCGACAGACGAAGGTTTTGCTGAGTTTCAGGTTGAATCCGACTGCTCACTTGCGTTGGATTATTTCTCAGGTAAGGAGACGAGAAGATGGGTTGATTTGATTCAGGAAACGATGCTCAGGCAGATTAGGAAACGTTTGGTCTTTGGACACACCTACAGGGAAGGGGATTGGGCCGCACACTATCTTGCGGATCTTCGGGCCTCACACTTTACTTATTTCAGCAGTCCAGAGCATCTGCCCATTTACGTTAAACGGGCCTATCTGATGGATTATTTTGGTATCCCCTCTCTTAGATTTTAATTTTATCAGTTTTTTGTTTTTGATTGGGTCAGGCCTAGCCCCCTCAATCTTTGGTGTCTTTTAGTTTATCGCATGAATTGTTTTAAAAGAGGTATGCCTCTTCAGAGAGGTTTTGGTTTGGTCCCCCTCTCTTTTTGTATCATTTTCCTTTTTTAATAAAATCTGGCAAATGTTCCCCGGCATTTGCCCCACTGATTTTGGTGGTTTACCTTCCGGGTTTAAAAAAAAATATACATACATACATACATACATACATACATACATACATACATACATACATACATACATACATACATACATACATACATACATACATACATACATACATACATACATACATACATACATACATACATACATACATACATACATACATACATACATACATACATACATACATACATACATACATACATACATACACACACACACATACACACACACACACACATACACACACACACATACATACATACACACATACATACATACACACATACATACATACATACATACATACATACATACATACATACATACATACATACATACATACATACATACATACATACATACATACATACATACATATATACATATGTAAACACAATCCAAAGCATCATTCATACAACATGATACCAGCATTGTAAACAAAATAAAATGACACACATAAGTTCAAAATACCAACATTGTAAACACAATCCAAAGCAGCATTCATACAACATGATACCAGCATTGTAAACAAAATAAAATGACACACATAAGTTCAAAATACCAGCATTGTAAACACAATCCAAAGCAGCATTCATACAACATGATACCAGCATTGTAAACAAAATAAAATGACACACATAAGTTCAAAATACCAGCATTGTAAACACAATCCAAAGCAACATTCATACAACATGATACCAGCATTGTAAACAAAATAAAATGACACACATAAGTTCAAAATACCAGCATTGTAATTTGTAAACACAATCCAAAGCAGCATTCATACAACAAAAACCCATTAAGTTCAAAATACACATTCAGCAAAAGGAAGAGCTTAACTCAAATATTCCTACACCTTTAACACCACCATTACATAATTCCAAAAGGTTTTTCAAATTACAGACTTAACAAAATAAACAATCAACAGATTATTGCATTTCTTTGTCCAAACTGCCTCTTCCTCCCCTCTTAGATCTACCCCTTTCTCCATTTGCAACACTCCCTCTTCCTCCCCTCTTAGGTCTACCCATTTGACCTCTTCCACTTTCAGCACCTCTTGTATGCCCTTGGTTTTCTTCTGCCACATTCTATTCTGGGATGGGTATATTCCTTTGTGAACATGATTTCTTATTGTGCCCGTCCACTTTACAAATAGAACATTTCATGATTCTTCCTTTTCTCGGTAGTTGAGACCCTGATGGTGCACGAGGTTCACTTTCTTCTCTCACACTTTTCTTCTTAGGGCACCCACTCATTTCTTTGCAATGGGAGGAAGAATCTCTTCATGCTGGGTTCTTGGCTAGAGTAATTCTCCATTTATTGGTTGCAGAGTGTTTGAGTATGTTTTCTCATAGAATTTCTTGGAGTACCAAGAGTCCACATAGCTTTCAGGTTCCTCACCTTTACCAAGAATAGCACAAATGGCATGTGCACAGGGAATTCCACTTAGATCCCATCTTCTGCAAGCACAAGTTTTTTTGTTCAGGCTCACCTTGTATTGATATCTGCCTTTTTTGATTTCATATCCATCATCCCCATTGAAATCAACATGCCAGCCTTGACTAGCTAATATATTTTTGTTCAATTTCTTCATTATGAGGGGACCAAATGCACTTGCACAACATGATTGGACCACTAAATTATTGTAAAGCAAGTTGATATGGCAAACATGGTTCAGATAAGTTAAAAGATAATAAATGCCGTTCAGAATCATCACCTGACCACTTCCTCACATTCTTTCTTTTTTAGCTATTCTTTTCATCATAGCCACTCTCATTCCCTTTAGCATTGGGACAAGAGGTTTGTCTCTGAGTTGAACAATAGACTGTTAAATGCCTCAGACAAATTGTTATCTACAATATCACACTTTACCTCAGTCCTAAAATAAGCCTTGCACCATAGCTTTAGTGGGTACTTGCGCAAGTCAGTGCCTTCTTGAGGGTCAAGCTTATCTAACTCATTCAAACTAGCCTCCAACTGCCCTTCAGAAGTGGCCTTTGCACATTGCCAGAACAATTTCTTAAGCACCAATCCTCTGTGATTTTTGGCCCAGTTGGCATGTATATGCCTAGCACAATTCCTATGCTCAGCATCTGGGAGAACATTTGGAATAACATTTGACAGTCCCTATATAAATTTAAATGTTAAAAATACTTAGTACAAGATAAAAATACACAATAAAGCATTGAATTTATGTACTTACAAGAAAACTTACTTTCTGTTGATCACTTATTATGGTCCATTCAGCCGGGTTGTTGATCTGCAGGTCTTCCTTCAGAAGGTGTAAAAACCAACTTCATGAAGAATTGTTTTCTATCTCTATTACTGCCCAAGCAATCGGGTACATTTGATTATTCACATCTCTTCCCACAGCACTTAAAATCTCCCCCTTCAACTGTCCTTTTAGAAAGCAACCCTCCAACCCAATAACCTTCCTACAGCCTTCCAAAACCCCCTTCTTAACCGGTCCAAAACACATATAAATCCTTTGAAATACCATTGGAGCACGAGGCACCACTCTGTCAGTTTTAATCACAACTGTACTTCCAGGAATTGATCTCAACATTTCCTCTCCATAATTCACGAGTTTCCTGAACTGGTCCTTAAAAGCAGATTGTGTGTTGTCTTGCATAATTTTTAATGCTCTTGAAGCCATACTTATGGTCACACTCAATTTATGTTCAGCCTTAAGCAACTCTTTAAGCTCTATAGCAGTCATGTTTGGGTTTTCTGTCAACTTTTCCTCATAAGTTTCAGCTATCCAATTCTGACTAACTATTCTAAGCTTGAACTTTAGATTACATAGATGGTATGGGTTCCAAACTTTCAATTGAAAGTATTTTAACCTATCTTCCCATGAAGCAGTACTTGCAAAGGGGCAATTCATGGCACACTTCAGTCTGACTCTCAATGGCCCATTCTTAACCAACACTATATCTCTCTTATTATACACAGCATACCTAACCATAACACTTTTAAATTGCTTACCATCTTCAAACAACATCCCCACCTTAAAATGGAGAAGATCAGAATCTGGGTTATAGGATCCATTTAAGTTACCTGGCCTTTTGGACTTAGTTGCATCTTCCTCATCTGAATGCAAGTTAGGTGGGTTAGATGAGTCATATTCAGTGGTATCTTCCTCATTATCAGATTCAAGCCCATGCTCAGGAGTCTTATTATGGCCCATTCCTTCCACATTATCATCTCTCTTTGGTGTGGAATTAGTGTTCAGAACTTCCACATCATGTAACACCTCTTCTTCTTCTTCATCCTCATTGTATGCATCACTGCCAACATCTATATCGGCAGTGATGCCCCATCTGATTCCCCAACTCAGCATGTAACGGCTAACCGGCACTCCACCGGCTAAAAAGCCTGATTGAGTCGTTTTGGTTAGTTGAGGGACCTGATTGGGTGATTAATAAGTGCGAGAGCTTAATTGAGAAATTGTCCAAAGTAGGAGGAACTATTTGAGAGTTTTCTCTTTATTTTTCTTTCCGAAATAATAATAAATTATTGTAATCATTTTTGCTAGATGATTCCGTTAGTAGAAATTCAATATGACAATATTTATTATAAATATTTTCAATCATATTTTCAATCATATTTTCAATTATAACAATAACTTTTATTTTGAAAAGAAAAACAAATCTGCACAATTTGCCTAAAGTATACTCCGTAACAGTTTAACTTCCTTCCAACAAATCAGTTTTAACAGTTTCTCTCTCACGAAAAACGGAATCTTTTAGTTTCTATATTCTTGTCCCGGACAATATTACCCCCGAACTCCCAAATCAGGAACTTCTATTCTAATTTCTGACAATCTTCAAACCAGTAGTCAACCGCGTCGGATAAATGAAAGAAGTTATTGGTCAATAGCATGCTTAGCGAGCGACTCTGACAGCGCAAGTAGGAATGGATTTGGAAGAAGGAGTAGGCGAGTCGTCATCTCCGCCGAGAGCCTTAGGCAGCGTCGGCGGTGGCGTAGGTGGAGCTAAACACGTACGGAACAACGTGTACAACAAGCTGCTGCAGAGAGGTAATGTGGATGCGATTAACAACCCGGTTCTTCTCCGCGAGCAGCTGGAGGCGCACTTCAATAGCTTGCCTTACAGGTTTCAATTCATCTCTCTCCCGCCATTGATGACATCAATTTTTTAGTTATATTGATTTGCTTGTGGACATAACTTGAGCCTGGAGTGCAAAGCCTCTTAAGTATGCAGTACGTAGACGCTTGATATTTTCTGCTTCTTTCCTTTTCTAAATCAGTACGAGTAGTATTTATATAGTGTTAATGAATAATTGAATATGCTCTGAACTTGGTCGGACAATTTAAATTAACTTTATATGTCTCTGTATGTCCAATGTATGAAATTGCGTATTCATGTAATTGAATTCTAAAACATTGCAATATTTCTGTATTGTCGAGTTAGAGAAATGTATTGGTGATGCTAAATGTCTCATTGAAATTTGTGTTTCAGATATTTGCTGGATATAAATATGGATAGAGTAGAAGACGTGCTCTTGCATCAGGATCTCCTTGCAAGGGCAAAGGATCCTGACAAGAGGCCTGTTTACCATGTTCGATTTCTAGAGGTACTCCACTATTAGATGCATTTGGTAATTTTCGTTCATTTTGCTCCTTGATCAAGGCACTCTTCTCGTGAAGCTGATTTGCGGTGCTTATTGAATGCCAACCATAGTTATTTGTGTGCGTGTCCCGCACACGTGCGTGAGAGTGATATAATGGTGGATACCTTAGCTGCTTAATTTATGTTTTTTTTCCTGAAACATGAACTTCTTACTCTCGCTTCGTGTAAAAGAGAACAAGGTGGTTTAATTAGACCAATTGCTCTATATTTGTTTTCTGCTTATCTCCCCCCCCCCCCCCCCCCCCCCCCCCCCCCCTTTCTTCTCATCAAACAATTCTTTGTTATCTTTTAGCTGAGTGCTGGGACGACTAGATTTGATGATACAACTGACCAACAAATTTCAAATCCAGCATCCACTTCAAAGGTGCCTTACACAATTGGTAACGAAGGGATTGGTCCTTCCCATAGCAGGTATTTACTATGGCAGATGCGTGATACACAAAAACAAATCTGCATATACAACAATTGCTTCATTTATTTTGTATATGAAAGACTTGACCTTTGAAATGGATTGCAGGCGAGATATCTCATGCATTCCAATTCATGAAGTAATATTTTCAACCTTAGACAAGCCAAAGCTTCTCAGTCAGGTAACATAGAATTCATATTACAATTTATAAGACATGAAAATTTCAAATAATAATAAAATTCTAATGCTATATCGAGGTGCGTGATATTTTCAATTTATTTTCATTTTACTTTGATTTATTATGAAACCCTGGTTTTAATTCTTGTGTATGATATCCCATATCATATTATAAGTTTGTTGTGCTCTAAGAGCTTGGTGTATTTTGCACTTCTCTCCATGAGACAACACACTGGCCTGGCTTAATCACTGTCCGGTCAATGATTGTTTCTGAACTTACGTTTGGTCATATTCTATAGCTATAAGCACTGGTTTATATGTGTAAAAATGTAAATAATGTTTTATATAAAGTTATCTTTGAATTTTCAATTTTCATTACTCTCTTTTCCAGAAAATTTTCTCCCATAAAATATTTTTCGTTTATAGCTCTCTGCGTTGCTTTCCGCCATAGAACTTAACATCCGTGAGGCTCATGTGTTTTCTACAAGTGATGGCTACTCTTTATCTGTATTTGCGGTGGATGGATGGCATGTTGAGGTACGTTGCATTTTGTTATTTATTAAGAAGTGTAGGTCTGAAATGTATAATATGTCAATATATACCTAAGGTCCTAAGCATTAATTGAACTATTTAAAACTGTAAATTTTGCATGAAATAATAATTTTTTGAATATCCGTTCATAATATAATTCATGCATATAATGATCTGATTGGTCTCATATGTAAATTATATTTATTTGAATTTCTTTATGGCACCCATTGTGATGACAGCATTTGTTATAAAAATTAGAACCAAAATCAGATTGTTTATGCCATTAAGATGCCATGCCATGAGGTAATTGTGGCAGGATAGTGCCCAACATCATTCAAGTCAGCATTGCAATTATACACTCAAGTGAGATGTATATATGCTGACTTTGCAACAACAATACATGCAGGAATCAAAAGGATTGCTTGAAGTGTTGGAGAAGGCAATTGATAGAAGGAAGGTAATTGTGGTCATACTACGTATAATTTAGCTCTCTTATGCAGTTATCATGTATTGCTTGAATATTTGTGGCGTTTGCCAGGACAGGAATAGTTGCATATTATCAATGCAAACCTTATTGTCTGCAATGGAGTCGTGGAACCATGACTCAGATTGAATTTGATTAGATAATATATTGTTTGTCTTTAAACCAGAAAAAGGAATTATTGTTAATCCAAATTACGGAGTAAAAGATGTCACACATCATAAGGAAAAAGATTTTCCATCATTCACAAATCAATGGGACCCACGGCCTATTACACGAAACCTTGGCTGATCAGGAATTGATTTAAATAGAGGACTTTCTTCTTTGAAAATGAAGTAAACTTTTTCTCACCTGCATAAGTTTGTGCATGGTATACACGAGAATGTGTCGGATAATAGGATTACATCTGAGAATGAAGAAACTGTTTGATGTAGTATGTTCTATGTTTTCATCACTTTGCATACATATAAAGGGTATTTGACCCTTAGTAGTTTTATAATTTTATTTGCTTTTAGAATTCAGACAGCAGAAAGAACCCATATCATTTTCCATGCTGTCTAGCTGAAGTTTTTGGGACAAACAAAAAATGAAAGTTGGCAAAGTCCGATGGGAAGGAGGGAGTATATTTTTTTATATATAATTCAGCAGATTCAGCCACCCGATTCAACTAGCATTTCATCAATTTCAGCAGATTCAGCTAAATTGAGAGTCACCAAACTTGAGTGTCACCAAACAGGCTCTTATATTTATATGTAGGTGTGTGTGTGACAACCAAATGTACAGAATGATCATTTATCAAGTTCAGCTAGCCTTTTTGCTGACTAGCAAATCTCAGTCATTTTTGAAAAACTTTTACCCCAAAAGGTCACACCTTTCCAGTCCAATCACAATATTTTTACCCCAAAAAGGTCATACCTTCCTGATCCACTCACAATATTGTGCGTAATGGTGTGCAAAGAAAGAAGAAAGAACGAAAACGATGAAATGCTAGTAAAAATTGCCACAATGGTTATTTTTGGAAATTAGCATTAAAAAAGTAAAATGAAAAAAAAGCATTTAGAAAATCAGCAGAAAGTACACTTAGATTAACAATCAATGATTTGTAAATTTGTTTTACTAAGGCATTCCAGTATTAGGAAAGCGAGCCCCATATTAGAACCAGTTTCAACCTGTATATTAGAACCAGTTCACCCTTGGCCTTTAATGCTGATGAAGCTGCCAAATTTTAGCTTAATATGCAAAATATTGATCATTTTTGCGAATAATTTCACCATGTGCGAAATTATTGATCATTTTTAATCTAAATTGGGTTTGAGAATGCAAATCCCCCAACTCCCCTATATTTGATCATCATTTTATGAAATATATTTTCTTTTAGACACTTTCTTTGAGCTTTAGATATTTTACTAGTTACTATTCATGTCATAGGGTTGGGATCCCATGTTAATTGTTAACAAGTCGCATATGAGATTTCACTTTTATGTATTTCACTTGCAAAATCTACTAGTAAATTTTTCACTTTTATAATACTACACTTTTCCATTACAAGCCTGCACTGCCACTTCATTGCAAAGATGACACCTCATTTTTTCAGCCACTAGATCTCTAGACGATCCACATTAGATCTTCTTTCTCACATGGAGACTTATTCTCAAACGATTCCAACAGTGTGTGTATAAGCACGCGTAACTGCTTATACATACACACATACATAGGTATGTAGGATTGATAATGCAGTGATTGTGGCTGCATATTCATGTGATCAAATTTATATTATGCAGAAAACTATTTTTCTTAAAGAAAGATGTGGAGATTGAGAAATTGATAGAAGTTAACTCAAGATTGGGGTACTATTTTCCTATTTCGATGGTGTAGGAGTGGTTTTCTGTATCTGCATGTGATCAATCTTATATAGAGAAACCTATTTGCATTAAAGAAGAACCTGGAGATTGGGAAATTGACAGAAGTTCGCTGGAGATAGTGGAACGGATAACAAGTGGATCCGGTTGTGTTTTGTGAGTGATTAAATGTATCCCTATTGCGTCTTAAGTTTACTTTTACTTTTGTCATACCCATGTATGGCATTACCTTTCTCCTGATTTTTTTTGGTTTGATATGGAAAGGTATCATGGCGTATATCATGGTGTTGAAGTTGCAGTGAAGGTTCCTATATCTCAGGATTTAAATCTGGAACTGGCAAATCAATTTGCACAAGAAGCTTATATTTTAAGGTAAATAATTTCTAGGTTCTATGAGTTAGTGGGCTTCTGATATCCCTTCATAGTTTGTACTAAACCATAAAAAACTGAAATTTATTTCTGAGAGATGTTATTACTTTTAAGTTTTAAGGACTTAAAAGTCTCCAATACTACTTCTTTATCCCTTTCTGGCTAGATAGTCGTCTGTCATTTCCCATTGCAATGTATGCAGGCAGGTACAACATAAAAATGTTGTCAGGTTCATTGGTTCCTGCTTCAAATCGCCTTACTTGTGGATTATCACGGGTATGGAATTATAAATTCTTAGCCAAGTATGATTATTGAAATCTTTGCTATGTTAGTAGCCATTAGGCATAATATTTTATTTGTTAATTTTGTTGGCTGGACTTTTTTCATCGAAACCTTTATATCTTTTCGTCAGCCACTTGCCATCGCCTTGACTGTCTCAAACATCTCAAAATATTAATTAAATCATGCTCACTTGAATGCCCCTTTTTCTTGAGTTTTGTGTGGAATGTAGTTTTCTCACCTAACTCTAAAGGTAAACTTCTTGGTTGTATGTTCTGTATAGACTTTTTCTCTGCAAAACTCTCCCTATTAATCTTATGTTCATCTTTTGGTCTATACTGAAAATAATAATAGACGATGAACTTATGTCGCATTAATTTGACTTTTAGTCGCATTGCTATCAAGTCATTCCTACTTTTGGTCCTCGACTTTCTATTTTCCACTTATTGGTTGTTCCGGTCACTTGGCAAAAATAACCAGAAATTGTGCTGAATTTAGCAGGAAAAATGACAGGAAGGGACCACAAGTGAAAAACCTCTAGTCATAGCACCAAAAGTAGAAAAATGAAAGTTGTTTGCCAAAAATAGGAATGACCTAATACTCATGGGACCAAAACTAGAACTAATTCACTTATGTATACGTTGACTGGTTTTGTGTGTAGAGTATATGCCCGGTGGCAGCTTGTATGACTACTTGCGTAAGTACCATACTGTTTTGAAGCTCTCACAACTGCTGAGGTTTGCAATTGATATATCGGAAGGAATGGAGTACCTGCATCAAAATAACATAATTCATAGAGATCTGAAGACATTAAATTTGCTCATGGATGCACAAAATGTATGTATTTTCTATCTGAAAAAACTATCAAAATAAAGTCTCGTTTCAACATATGAAGCTTATCTTCATTGAAGTTATCCTATTTTTCAAAAGCGTCTTGAACAAATAAAAAAAATGTAAGATTTAGTTAAACAAATGATAAAACTGAAAAGTACAAGTATAATCGACTCTATGTTGCACGGAAACGCGAAGATCAAAGAGGAAACGTGAAGCGGGAAACGTAAGCTTTTGCTCAAAAAACGCTTGTTTGGAGAGTTTTCCGTAGAGTTTCCGAAACGTCCACATGCTCTTTCCCTAGAGTTTCCGCGCTACACAGATAATCGTTGACTTGTAAGAGAGAGTTACACCAGGTGGAAACTTAAAAGTTCTATTTTGTATGTACCTCGGTAAAACTTGACTTTGGGGAGAAGGGGGTTGGTTGTAAGAAAGTAGAGAACCATTTTCTATGAAATCTTCACAGCCTCTTACATGATTTTGTATTTATTAGCTTTCATAATCTGTTACAAGGTTGTGAAAGTAGCAGATTTCGGCCTTGCTCGGTTTCTTAATAAAGGGGGTGTTATGACAGCTGAGACTGGAACATATAAATGGATGGCACCTGAGGTATGCATTGAGTTTACCTTTACTAGATTTTTCACCCGTGCGATGCACAGACAAAAAGTAATTAAAAAATTATCCAAATAATTTTTTAAATATTTACATTAATCAATTATGGCTGTAATAAAATCTTTTTAAATGAATAAAACTATTAAAATAGGTGGTGCATGAGTTAATTATAGATTTAGAAGCAGCACATCTAGAAAAATATTATTTAGAATATTTAACGTTGAAGTACCAAAATAAATACTTTCAACAATGATCAAGTTACATATTTTTGAAACACTTGTAGTCAAATTATTTAGAAACTGGGACATGATGAATCCAATTTGGGAAAGACATCAATTCTAGCACACAAACTCTAACTGGAGCGGTTTAATTGGCTGAATTGCCGGATTATGGAAAATGTATATTTAAATTATGTTGTATTAGTAAAACAAAGAAAAAATAATATGAACATGACCGCCTGGCTGCGTGTAATTTTAACTCAAAGTGGTAACTTATATACACACATAGATACATATATTTACCACTTTGAGTAAGAACCTATTTTTTAGATATGTTTTGATTATGTAAATCACACATACTTATAGAAAAATAAATGGCTGTATGCAGCCATAACATATAAGCATAAGTAGTGGCACTTTTGGATCCATATATTTACCTGTACAAAGTCATTCTTTATTCGTAATCCAAATATTTACTCTTGCACAGTGATTATTTATTCGTATGTCCAATGACTTGTGCTAAGTGATTGGGTCATAAGCTATCAATAACCAGCAGATCAACCTATCCAGTGGTTAATTTTGACAAAAAGTACATATCATTATGTATCAAATTAAAAAAAAAACTTTGCAAAATTTACGTAAATTAGAAAAAGAGTCCCTCTTAATTGAGTAAGCTTTTTGCAATTTATACTCTGATTTGGAGTGAAGACTTAATTCTTAATTTTGTACCCTTTTGGCAACATGCTTTATAGCAGGAGTATTTTACTGCACTTGTATTCCACTAATTCCTTCACTATCACCGTGCCATATTGTTTGAGATGCATAAAAAGATGTGAAAGTAAGTACATGATTTGAGAATCATATTAGTGACTTTTTAGTTTTAGGTAGACTTCTTTGTATGCAAATGAGATGATGTGAAGATGTTATACCAAACTACAACTTTAATATGTAAGTTTAATATAAAATTCTGAAAACTTACATCTCCATCATGTAAGGCAGTTTTCTTGTTTCACCTATGATAAACAGATAAAGTTAGCTGCTACCCAATTAAACTTTCAAAGCTCTCCTGTTTAGAGACCTTGAGGATTTTAATATATTCAACTTCTTGACTAGATTTCTGATACCCATTTCCTGCTGTTTGTTTCAGTCATTAGTATAGGTGTTGAATGTTAATCCAGAAGGTGTGCTATATTTATACCCATATCTGGTCAATTGAGCGCACTGCTCGAGAAACTTTGATGACCGCCTCATTTAGCAGGAACTTTAGTCATTGTAATTCAACATTGGAAGGGGCATTAATTACCTTATGGTTCTTGTATGCTGCGTATGGATTGCCCGCCTACTTTACATATATCAAAGCAGCTTTATCGCATTATTAGTTTGATTGGACTTGTTTCAAGAGATTTCTAAGCATGCCAGTTGACCCATTCTCGACCTATATTCCCCATTTTTTAGGCGTGAAAATGACACACATTTTGTATATAGGAAGATTGTATGTTGTTAGATGTTTCATTTGCTGAACAATATGTGTTCTTCATGTACATTTCTTACTAACATTGACCCTTTACGTATGCTTTTCATTTGGATTTCATTTCTTTCATGGTGTTACACAATTAGGCTATGTTTGGCATGCCATATTCTAACTTCATAAGTTTGTCATTTTTTCAAAGAGAACTTTTCAAATAAATTATGTTTGGTTAGCACACTTATTTTGAGTTTCAACTTATTTAATAAGCTTCTCTGAGTAGCTTTTCAAATGTGTTACATGAGTTTTATCAGTTATAACCCTATTTTATAAAATATTTAAATTAACTCCTTCAAGACATATATTCAAATATTATGTCATTTTGTATTTCAAGATATTTTATAGCTAATGTTCACCAAACACTGCATGAAAGCCACTAACTTATGGGTTATAAGTTGAAGCCTATAAGTTACAAGCTATAAGTTAGAAGTTACTAGGGTTAAGTAATCAGTCCATACTAGGGTTAAGTAATCAGTCCATAGCCAACCTACAGCTTATCAGCTAATTTATCAGCTTGTTTTGTCAAACAAAGCCTTAGCTTATCCTCGTCCTCAATGCAATTACTTTGTTGTTATGATCGCACTGAAATAGTTTTCTGAAGTCGCTAAATATAGCTGGCATAAGAGTCCCATCTTTGCCTTGTGCAGGGATTAAATTTCATTTTGTCCTTTGGTACATTGCACTAAATTTCCAATAAGAAATTTTGGCTAATAAGAAAAAACAGCTAATTTATTTCTTTGAATGTCTCAAATACTGTAGGTCATGACAAATAAGCCATATGATCAGAGTGCGGATGTATTCAGCTTTGCAATTGTCCTTTGGGAGCTTTTAACAGCCCAGGTGTTTGCCATGCTCCCATTTGGTTATGAGCTGGTATTACTAACCTGTCTATAGAAGGGGCAGAAAGAAATATAGAAAGCTAAAGTTTGTTTAATTGTCTTTGGCTTTTTGTTGAGTTGCAGGTACCGTATGGCAAAATGCCTGCTGTATCAGTTGTCTTGAGTGTCACAGAGGTAACTAATATAGCTAATCTGGACTTCTAAGCACAAGTGAGTTATTAATGTAAATCGATTATTTGCCATGAAAGTCCATTGCTGGGTACACTTTTACTATCTTGAAACTAGAAGAGTCCTTGCATTTAATAGGACTTTGAGACCCTATTATTCACTTTCTTGCTGTTTTCTTGGGGTGTGTTTGGATAATGGAAAATGTTGTATAGAAAGGAAAGGAAATGCGAAATGAATTTAGTTTTCTAAGTTTGGCTTTATCTTGGAGAGTGTAAAAGGTACAAGGAATATTATTAAAATAGTTTTTGTCTTCATATATTTGTCTTAACCTTGCCTTTACATAAAAAAAAAGAATGAGTGAAAACAAATTTCTAAATAAACTCTATTGAGTTTGAGTGTATCCTTTATTTTCTCCTAAATTTTCTTATCCTTCACGTTATCCTCTCTATTACGGAGTATAATTTGGAGGGATAATGGATGCTCCTTTTGGTTCCCTATGACTATGAGCATAGGCGGACCCACTAAGGGTCCCACGGGGTCCCGGGACCCCACGGACTTCCAAAAAATTACATATATATATTATATATATTTTATATAAATTAATAAAAGAACATATATATATATATATATATATATATGTACGTCAGAAACTTATTTGGAATGTCAAGATCGTTATGGTGCAATGGTAGCACCCTTGAAGTTGAAAGGTTTCCACCGGAGGTCAGGGGTTCGATTCCCTTTGACGACCCCATCTTTTTGTTTTTTAGATTTATTAGGGAAAACAACATTTATATATTAGAAATAATTTTTAATAGTGTAATTCCTTAAATAACACTAAAACATTGACAAACTGCACAAATAGGACCATCATTATTTTCTTACTAAAATAAGACCCATAGACTCATAATTGATGATGTTTTATTATTTCAATATGATCAAAAAAGTCATATTTAAGAAATTATAAACATATAGTCTTATTTATGTACTTTGATAAAGTTTTAGTTCTATTTAAAGCAATAACTATTTTTAGTAATACTAACTATTTGAATATATACCAAAAGTAATATATAGCAAATTTTCACTAATAAAAATCAGTCATTTAATTCATCAAAAACTAGTAACCAAAAAATATCAAATAAGTGACCATATTTCCAAATATCATTTATTTATTGGTTTGATATTAGTTTTTGATGTCTTAAATAATTGGATTTCTAGTAGAAAAACGACTACATTTTATTTTTGTTATACACTAAAATAGTTGATATTATTAAAAGTTATTTCTAAACTACGTATTAATCTTGGTTCATGGAAGATAGTTGGTATTATTTAAAATTTTCCCTATTTATTATTCTAAAATATCAAAACTACGTTGTTTTGGCAATCAATTTCGACCAATGATATTTTTTAATATAAGAAATTATTTTGAATGTGAAAATTATATCAAAATATTCATGATTCAAAACATTTTCATAAAACTATAAAATTTATAAATTGTATACAAATATAATAATTAATATAATTGTCCAAAATTTGCTATTATTGACTAAGAAAAGTCAATATGACGAACTTTTTCAGAACAAAAGTAGTATTAATTAGAGTTACATTAGGGTAGGGACCCCGTGACTTTATTTTTCTGGGTCCGCCACTGCCTATGAGTAGTGTTCTTCATGATTTTTGCAGTATCTGGAAGTGATCTATATATCTATTAGTTCATTGGACCCTAAAAATAAACTCTTTCACACTGACAATCCACATGTGTTCGTCCCAACTACTCTGTACTACATTTTGTCATAGTAGGGTGAAGTCTGGTGGTAACAACTTTAGGATGTGCTAATCCCTTTTACTTCACAAGAAAAAATATACTTTTATGTAATGTCCTGACCAACATATATCTATGTTATTGTGCATTGCAGGGTCATAGACCAGAATGTCCAAATAACACACACCCAAAGCTGCTCGGTTTGATACATAGATGTTGGGAAACAGTTCCTGAAAAGCGGCCCTCCTTCTCTGAGATAAGAGCAGAACTTAAAGAACTCCTACATGAAGTTGATAAATCAGTGGTTAGTTAGCTTTCATTTTTTGCCAGCAGTGCGTACGTCTTACGCTTTGCTTTTTATCTGTCAGAGGAAATCAAAGTATGCTGTTTATTCATGTCACAGGATGACACAGGCGTATCAAAGGAAGGATGAGTGCGCTCAATTAATGGTTCCACTTAATATTGCATCGTGACAGTACTTAACACATGGAAGTTTGTATATTTGGAATGTTGGATGAAAGATAATCTGTCTTTCCCCCTTTCCCTAGACTGAAACAGGACAGCATTAATTGTAGTCAGTAAGTAATGAGGTAACAAATAGCATGATTTTAGTGCTGACGCACCACAAAGAGAGTATAGGCACCTTTAGGACTAGGTCTGTCCGCGGTTTGAACCAGATCCGATTCGCTAGTTTCCGGTTTCGAAAATCCCCTGAACAAGAACCACACCGTAGCGGATCTAGTACAGTTCCAGTGGTTCTTGTTTTGGTTCTGGTACAGTTCAGTGGTTTTGATTTTTTGTTTTGTTTTTTGCCTTCTAAATATTTGCTTCATCTGTAATTTTCCTGCGGAATTTCGGATATTTGGTTTCTCCTATGAATTACTCCGTATATAGTAAGCTGCCAATCACTTTAAATTTGGTCTCATAAAGAGTGGAGTAATTAATGGGTGAAGCATAAGGAGGAAGCGGTCTCAAAGTTTTGGTCCATTCTTCTCCAGGACCTCTACTCACTTTATATCCACATGACCACATAAGGAGTAAGCAGGAGGGACACAGAGCAGCTGAAGGAACTTGTAGAGGAGACCCACGCATGTTATTTTGAACTCCTACATTCCGGTTTGGAACCGGAACCGTTCGAAATTGAACTGGAATCAGCCCTTCCTGATTCCAACTTTGTGAAAAACAGAACCACCCCTATAAACCGCAGGTCATAAACCTGTGACCTTTATTGGATTTTGATTTTTTGGTTCAGTTAAAAACCCCCAGTTCCGGTTAAAATGGAAACCGGAACTACTATGGAGAATATATTACAGTATGCGCTAAGAAAGTCTAATATTGATTACCAACGTTTCTTTGGTTTATATTCTTTCTTATCTTTTTATTTTACATTCCAGAAATTCAAACTCGTTAATCAATTTAAGTCAAACTTACCTAGGAAAATGGGGTCAAGATTAGAGAAAACATGGATGCACAATAGTGTGTTTATATACTTGTATTAGTTGTATATGTATGTAAATAACTGGTGTTTAGCCCACCCGGGCACTGCCCCAGGCCCAGGCCCCAGGGTAGTGTTTATAATTTAGTTTTCATATTTGACTTCATTGTATAATTATAAATTGTTCTTAATTTTGGTGAATATATGTAATTATGGGTGAATGATTTAATTTGCGAAAGCTTCTTGATACATAGCTCATTGTGATTTAAACAAATGTGTCAAGACCCCCTTATATTATAATTAATCATGCACATCTCATTCTAAATCAAATCATCAAAACGACAAATTTAAAATTCTATGGGTGCATTTATTTTTGTGAATCACTTTGGGAAATTATCACAACTGGACTTAGGGATGGACCAGATCAATGAAACTTTTGTTTTCATAAACGGACCATGTTTTATAAAAGGGTACACATGCGTTTGAATCTCCGATCCTTTTAAGCGTGGATGTCATCGCCCTGAGAAATCATTCCTTGACAAATTAGTCGAAAGTGCACAACTACTTTTTTTTTTAAGTGCAACTCCAAAACAAAATTTAAAAAAAAAAATAAAAAAAAAATGGTGAAAATAATAGGACAAAAACTGCTAAAAGACTAACAAATAAAAAAATCAAATTAAAGAATAAAAAATTGTCAAAATTGGAAAAAGTCGAAAAATTCAAAATAGTTAAAAAGTGGAAAATTTTGTAAAGAATAATAAAAAGTCTTTTTTTCTTGTAATGTATTCTTTAAAAAATTTAACATACTTTATGTAAAAAGCATATAAAACTGTAAATATATAAACTTGGGAAAAATTAAAAACTCATATTAAATGCTATAAAATAATTGTACATAGAAATTTCTTTATAAAAATTAAAAAGCAGAAAATTTAATTAAACTAAAAGAATGAAAAGTCTAAAACTCGACAAAAAATAGTTACATTGAAATTTTTAAAAATATGAATCTTATAATTCATTTTTTTAAATAGTTACAATATTTAACAATACTTATCTCTATATAAAATAAAATTAAACATTGAAAATTTTTAAAAATATGAATCTTATAATTCATTTTTAAATAGTTACAATATTTAACAATACTTATTACTCTATATAATTTTGTTGTTTGTTTTTGTTTCCTATTATTTCGTTTTGTTTCTTTTTGTAGATAACTTTGGAATTTTTGTTTTTTATTGTTTCTTTATGTTTCTTGTGCTTGGTTTATATTCATAAATTCAAATTTATTATTTTTGATGATTTAATTTAAATATATATTTTTTTTTACTTCAAAGAAGTAGCAAACAAATAAAAAACTAAATAAACAACAAAAATCAAGATACACAATAAAACAACAATACGTAACAAAAACCAACATGATGCAACAAAAAATAACAGGATGCAACAAAAAACAACACATTTAATACAACAAAAAGAAACACAAATCTATATATTAGAGTTCAGTAATTCAATCTAATATTCCAATGTATTACATATATCTATTACTCCTAGTGACGAGGGACCTAACTAATCTGTGTTGCAAGCCAAAATTCTAAGCGAGCAAAATATTTATATGATAATGTGACACCATTAAACAATGATGTTACTACTATTTATTACAGTTTATAAATAAATCACTGTAAATCACTTCAGTTTATGTGACACCATTAAACAATGATGTTACTACTACACCATTAAATTATTTACAGTTTATAAATAAATCACTTCATATCAATGTAGAATACATAGAACTAAATAAGAGCCTTAATTGCAAGCTAAGTCAGATTCACTCAAATGAATGGAAGTTCGTTCAGGAATGCAACTGTGGCAACCTGAGACCCTATCCCACAGATCCTCTGAACATGAAAGTCGGATAAGATCGAAAATGATCAAGGTAATGGAATGGAGGATATCTCTCGGGGTTTTTTCTACTCTTGATTCTCTTCCAATTCTTGTCTGCCAACGTTTCTTCTTTGGTTCAATGCAGACAGCTCTTCTAAAAATTCATCTTTCGTACTGCTACTTTCAATAATTACACTTGATATAAATTGTAAACAGGGATGGATTTAAGGGGGGCGCGAGGGGCGACCCCCCCTTGAACTTTCAAATTTTTCTACAATATATTTAATATTTTCATAAAATTTTTATACTTTAATTAGATATATATGTGTTCGTCCCCCTTAACTTTTAGTTTCAAAATTAATATATAGCCTTACATTATGAAATACTTAATTGGAGATTTAAAAGATGAAACATCTAAAATAATTTACATAACTTAAGCAAATAAACAATAGAACCACTTATTGTTCAAGACTTAGGATACCTATTATATAAATATTCAGTTTTGAAATGTTTAATTATCTTTAATTTATTAGATAATTATTACTCGATTTGTAAAATATCAAACAATATTATATACGAGACAGACTAGTTAAACAGTTTTTCGATCATGTGAAATGAATTTAAAATTACACAATTCGTTTACTTCTTACTCTTTAAAAATAATTTATTGCATAGGTAATAAATTTTAACTTATTTTACCACAGCAAAAACAACATCCAAGGCTTAATCCCAAAAGAATTTGGGGTCGGCTAACATGAATCGATCTATGATATCGATGTCAAACAGAGAAGATAGACAAGAAAGGGAAGAAAAAGAAGTAAGATTAAACGAATAAAATAAAGATAAATAAATATAAGATAACAATAACACAAGAATATAAGAAAGATAAAAAATAAAAGAGCATAAAAAAGCTAGAGGCTAAAAAATAACATAAGAATAAAAAAAGATAAAGAAAATAAACGATAAAAGAAAAAAGAGAGAAAAGATAGAGAAGACATCAATCTAAGAATCAACGATATAATATTATTCTAAAAATAATAATCTCATACTACGTACATACTATACTTTTGTAATATTAGCAAAACTTGCAATTCAAAATTTGCAATTCAATAATATTATTCTAAAAATAATAATGCCATACTACGTACATACTATCCTCATGACTCATAAGATTCATGTTGTTAAACATGACATGAGTTATTTAAAAAGCATTGGTGGTTGTGCACGTTTTAAACTCTTTACCTTCAAATAATTTGATAAAATGTTATATATCCTTTGTTATTTTCAAATAATTTTTCGTTTGATTTGCTATTTCTTACGCTTTAATTTATCAATACTTTTTTCTAAAGCACTGATGGAGTATATGGGTCTAAGCCCCAGGACCCACATACTCGGAAGAACAGAAAGCACAAGACAACAGAGCGGCGCCCTCGTCGGCCAAGACGCCCCCGTCGGCCGAAAAGGAGCCAACTCGGATTATGGTCCTGAGTCCAAGGAACCCGGGTGCCCTCGTCGGCCGTGCCCTCGTCGACCGTGCCCTCGTCGGCCGTGCCCTCGTCGGCCGTGCCCTCGTCGGCCGTGCCCTCGTCGGCCACGCCCTCGTCGGCCGTGCCCTCGTCGGCCACGCCCTCGTCGGCCACAAAGACCTCCCAGAATCGGATTTTATACTTACTCATTTGTACAACCCATTAGTGGCTTTGTATTCGGCCCAGTAGCGGTCCAGTTGTAAATGGGCCTCCCAAGCCCAAGGCTTGGGAGCCCAACCCTAATTTTCTCTATAAATACTCCCCTTGGGAGTAGTTATGGGGGTTACGAAATCATTCTATTGAAGCATATTATTGCACTTCTCTCTCTAGCTCTCACTTCTCTCTAGATATACTCTATCATTTGGTGCTCTCGTTGAGAGCTAGAACAATCAAGTTAGCACCCTTCGTCGCTACCAAGCACAGCTAACCACTGATCATGGGGAGAACTAAGTCAAACCGCAACCTCGTCAGCAAAGTCATCCCTGAGGACCAAGAGCCCAGGGAGCACGATGAGGACGCCACGGCCGACCAGGTCGGCGGAGGGGACCTCTTCCAGGAGGCCTTCAACCTCACGACGGACCTCCGCAATTAACTCAACGGCGGAGTCCCCGACGCCCGCCTCGGCCTGGAAAAGAAACGAACTGAGAAAGCGGACCACGCCCCGGCCCAGCCTATGGCCGCGGCCTCTCCGTCCGTAGATCCTCAGGTCCAGGCCGCACTATCGGCTATCATCGCCAGCTTGGCTCAGAATCCCACCGTCCTCAGCGCACTCTTGCCAAGGACCGGGGGAAACGTCACTCCACCTCCTCATCCCCAACCGTTGTCCGTCCAGATAGGCAACAATGAGGGGGTGGTGGCCCAGGACACGGCGTCGTCCCACTCCCACCCTGCTTCTCTTCTTCGGCCCGGGCAGACCCCAGCGCGTGGAAAAGCCTCTGCCTTCAATAGGCTAGGTGACACGCGTCGTCGTCCGGTTTCGGAAAGGATGGCGGGACGGATTGGCGATCCTCGTCCTGGCTCGCCAAGGGAAAGCTTGGGGTCTGTGTCCCGGACAGCGGACCAGCCCCGCCCGGACAAGGGCAAGGGGAAGTTGCACGAGGATGACGTGCGCCACCAGATCAACGCGGCTCACAACGAGCGCCTGAGGAACCAGCCGGGCGCCGCTGCGGCCGACAGGGATCCCCGGGACGAGGTCATCGCCCAGCTGGAAAGGAGGCTGGCTCAGATGGAGGCCAAGCAGTCGGCCAACATCCCTACGGCCGGCGCCTCCAACGACCCCGGCCTCAACGCGCTCATGAACAAAGTTAGCGCCCTGGAGAGGGAGCTGGCCGAGGGGCGAGGTGACCCCATCATCCAGGTCAGGACCAGGACCCCTTTCACCAACAGGGTCCTCTCGGCCCCCATCCCTGAGAAGTACAGGGGGAACGCCATCAAGTCCTACGATGGCCGATCAGACCCCCAGGAGCACTTCAGCCGTTACCAAAACAACATGCTGATGGTGAACGCGTCCGACGAATACCTCTGCCGGTGGTTCCTCTCTACTCTCGAGGGGCCAGCGTACGAGTGGTTCAACGGACTGCCAGAAGGCAGCATCGACTCATGGCAGGATCTCGCCCAGCGCTTCCTCACTCACTTTGCCGGGAGGAAGCGCGCGAAGAAGTATTTCACCCACCTCCTCTCCGTCAAGAAGCAGCACGAGGAGTCCCTCCGGTCATTCATAGACCGGTGGACGAGGGAAACCGAGGAGGTCAAGGGGGCCGATGAGCGCACCCTCCTCGCTTTGTACCAGGGAGCCCTCCGCAGCTCCCCGTACGCTAGGAGCCTCATCACCGACCCCCCGAGGTCGTACGCCAAGGCGCTCCAGCGCGGAGGCTTATATGCCGACGCCGACGAGCTCCACAATCACAAGAGAGAGGGGGGCCATCCCCCCAAGAAGACAAATCCTTCGCCGGCTCCGGGTCCGTCCCCGGCCGGCCAGGGTGCCCAGGGCCGCCACGGCTCTGGTGGACAGAGTAAGAAAGACCGCCACTGGCGGCCGAGGCTGGAACGGCCGGGGGTAACCCTCACCCACCCGGTCGGCACCATCCTCGATTATGCCGAGAAGCACGGCCTCATCGAGCAGGCCCCTCGGCCGGCCGAGGAGATCCTTGCCATCCAACAGGGCGGCACATACTGCCGGTTCCACAAGAACTCGTCGCACAACACCGACGATTGCATCACATTGAAGAAGGCCATCGAGCGCCTTATTCGCCAGGGGGAACTCTCCCAGTTTGTCAAAGGTGGCCCGCGCAAGAACACTTGGGTAAACACCGGCAAACATGGGGGCGAACCCTCTGCGAAGAAGCGGGAGATTGGTAGACTCAGCGACGACGAGGACTTTGAAGAGCCTCCGCCGAAGAAGAATCACATCCACCTCATCGTGGGTGGAAACACTGGGGGGGACTCCGCCACTCAGAGAAAGAAGTGGGCC